CATCTGGCGTCGACCGGAGTTGGGTCATCACCGGCTGAGTCGAACTGATATCTCCGTGGAGATTGGGCTAGCTAGCTGGACTTCCTTCAAGAGGGTACTGCCATTGATTCTACTATAGAAGCAACTCTTAAAACAATTTAAAGCATCACATGCTGAAACTTGCTGTTCGTGCTCCATGCTGAAACTTGCCCACCGGGCGGGCTGAGTACGCCTTTCGTTGTTCTGTCCACTGGGACGTCCGAAGCCGGGACCATCCACCGGAGGCATTTGAGCAGTCTGGGGATGTCTGGGGATCCGATGAACCGCGGTAGGCGCGCTGAGCGCTCAGCGCAGCCACATGGAACCCCAAAACCACGCTGGGTTGGTCTGCGGTTCCAATGGTCGAAACTACTACAGTACGATGAATTCTGAGTTCGGGGGTTGACCCTAGCTCTCTCCGGCGAACTCGCGACCGAATCAGAAGAGGCTCCCACGACCTCACATGGGAATTGAACAAAGAATTGCCCTACCCACTTGGAAGCGAGGGAGGCTCTACCACCAAGGGAAGCGCTGTTCCCGCCGGGGAGCTCCCACCTGGAGACAGCCTCCCCCAAGCATGTGCCCCAAGCTCTCCTCTTCATCCATTGCATTATCATTAAATTAGCAGTCAATGTTCTGCATTTTGAGCCGAAAAAAAGCCGCGGCCCGGGAGATCGAGTTTCACTGGGTGCTGCCCTCAATGATGCTTGGATTGGGCACGAAGAAGGCTTTGACACACCATCAACCGAAGACAAAGCTCGTTGACTTGTAGGGTACTTGTCACGGAAGAAACTTCTGTACCACTTGCAGCGTGCTGGCTCACCCGAAACATGACATGATGGGCGGCCGCACAGTTTTCCTGCCAATGCCTTTCTACAAGTGATTGGGAATGACGACAATAATAGTCTCTGTACTACTTGCCATATCTTGCTATATACACATGCAGTGCGAAGCTGGCTGGCCTAGTATTGTTTTTCACCCATAGCATCGGATCCCCAGGTATCTTCTCACATGAGTCCCGTTTGACTGGTGGCTCTTGTCCGGACATTCGTAAACCATGTAAACAGATTCGAGGTGACCAACCGGGATCCGACCTGCACAACTTCTTGGTCCACTTGACCTGCACAAGACGTCTTCAGTTCCGCATCCGACACAGCGCAGCCACCACGTGGCAGTGTTCTGTGGGCAATTGGAAGAAGCATGGTGTATGTTGACTAGGAGCAAGGATGCCACTAGGAGCTCCTGGCCTTATCACTAGGAGCAAGGACGCTACTAGGGGCTCCTGGCCTTACTACTAGGAGCAAGGACGCTACTAGGGGCTCCTGGCCTTACTACTAGGAGCAAGGACGCTACTAGGGACTCCTGGCCTTACTACTAGTAGCAAGGACGCTACTAGGGGTTCCTGGCCTTACTACTAGGAGCAAAGGGCTCGTGGCCTTACTACTAGGAGCAAGGACGCTACTAGGGGCTCCTGGCCTTACTACTAGGAGCAAGGACGCTACTAGGGAAGAAGCATGGTGTATGTTGACATATGCTGATGGTTAGGCGCAGTACTTCTGCCCAGACGACCTTCTCAAGGGGAAACAAGCACATGTCGTTGTTGTCTTACTCTTTCTAGCCCTCCAAAGCCACATGTATTTTCTGTTCCATTTCTTCAGCCATTCACTGCTCATATGCTCGCGCTCCAAAACTCCCAAACCCAATCAGTCTTTCTGATATGATGGCTGTCCATGAACACTTGCGCAATTTCCTCAACAAGGGTGCCACATGCTGTACTGGCCACACTTGTGCCAATGCGGAACGATGGCTGCCATCCAGTTCTGCGGTAGCTGCAAGCACTCCAATGCCTGCAGTACAGCAGCCGAAAGGCAGCACAGTTGGAACCCCGATAGCTCCAAAGACGCATTACATGTGCCGAGCAACGGTGTTCGATGGTGAAACGGTAAAACGACTTGCCACCAGCCTTGCGCTCACGCAGCCGAATGGGGCACGGCCGGTCAACTCGTGTTCACTCGCGAGAGTTAGTGATCTATAGGTGTGTTGAAGCCACCAAAGGGCAAGGAACGCATGATCCGCTAACCATTCTGTCCTTCGCCAGCTTTTCTTTGCCACCTGGGTGTCTTTTCATGTCTTTTCAAGGGTATCCATGATGGTGCAGCCATGACGTTTTGCCTCCACTTGTCACACGATCTGATGGCTTCACCCAATGTCCAATTCGGAATGTCACACAATCTCTGCAACGACCTCCTTCTGAAACCTAGAGCAAGAGAAACAGAAACGATTTCTCAATGTGGGGATTTGGCCAGCTACACAATTCATGGTGTTGACACCCTCCCTTTTGGTTACCTTGTTTCACCTCCTTCTTTGAGAAATCACCCCAAGTGCCAATCCAGATTTTTCCGGATTTAAGATGTCCAAAAAAACAAGTGCACCTCCTCACATAAAACGGTTCTATTCATGAAGGGTCGACCTCAGAACTTCCACTTTGCGACTCCACCTGAAAGCCATCAAAAAACTACCAGGCCGGGCTAAACATGAAGTCCACCTTTGGATGTGGCGAGACCTGCTTTCCCTTGGGCTGGGCGCCCCATCGATTCGGCGTTTTCTGAATTCCACTGGACCAAAGGGACGCGATGGGAGTGGACGCGTGGAGCGTTTTCAGCAGCATTGACCGGGGGAATACCTGGAAGTTGGGGAAACCGGCACCTGGCAACACCACCAGAAGTCCACTTCGCCAGTGCATCCCAGGCAAACCACGGACAAGTAGAGGAACCAGGGATTCGTTCGGAACCGGTCGAAGTGGTTTGAGTCGAACTGGAACCAACTGGGACTTCCAGCGACCTCGTGGTTTGCCTGGATGCCCTCCACTTGACCACGTGATTTCATCTTGAAAGATCGAAAGAAAGCGTAGCCTCGCTTCAACAGTTCAAAACAGGTTTGTCAACCCACTCAGATGAGTACTTTGGGCAACCCTCAGAGTACTTTGGACAACATGACTCTTGTGAGCGGAGTGAAACACCATGGGGCTCGCGTTTTTCAGAACGAAATTCCGACCCTCCTCCGGAGATAGGGGGGCCATACCCTTCATCCTCAAAGGGTCCGGTTTGCTTCGGACGTCCGACCCCAGGGCCGCCACGACCGCCACGCCACGACCGCCACCGGAGACGTGCTCCGTCAGACTCCGAAAGCGATGCGATGCCCGGAGCTGTTTGGATCGGACCGATCCGCACCGATCCGCTCCGATCGGAGTCTTGAAGCCAGCTGATGAGAGGATGCTGAAGCCAAAACCGGCTGATGCGATCAACAGCAATGACTAAGGGACTCAGACATCCCGAAAATCATGTGAGCAGCAAACAAAATTAGAGCCAAACACCATCTGACATAGTTTATGATCGTTTTCCCATGGTCTTTTTTTTAGGACCACTCAGATTCTCGTACCACCGAAACACCATCCGCCCCAACAAAACCGGTCGTCGCCTCTTCTCCGTTGGAATCCTTCGAAACGTAAACGAACGATTCTGGTTTTGTGACCCCCCACAACCAGAAAGAGTTATGGATGGAACTCCCCAGTCCCAGCCATTTCCTGTGTAAAGGATCTCAAGCTGGCGCCATATTGGAACAACCTCTTGTTTCTGGTGGTTTTGGTTCCCAGGATTAAAAGAATGGTTGTTGAAATCCTAGAGGACTCAGGCTTCTGAACGCATCCAACATCTTTCTGAACTCAGGCTAAGAAGCCCCTTGCTCCATCTTGCCTCCCTTTCGTCCAGTGCCGCACTCTGTACAAAAGATATCTATTTGGGCGGAAGGGCCCGCGAGGGCTGCGCGTTGATGCAACGTAAGTCATTTCCACAGTTCTGATCGAGTCAGTTTCCCCATGTTTCCCCTCTCCAACTGTTCCACCCTGTGCACCCCTCGCTTGAAACGTTGCTCAGGGACCCGTGCACAAGTAGGGACCCTGACGCCACATCGGGCGACTGAGGATGACCGAGCTACCCAAACAGGAACTGATGAGTCCAAGATCCACCACGGCCTTCGAAAGCTGTGCAGATCCACCTGCGGCCCACGCCTATGTTTTCCGTTTTTTGGGGAGACATAGACCCTAGGATTCCAACCACCATGAATCCAACATGGTTCTCCAGATTTAACACTTTCTTCATCAGGTCAACCATTCTGGTCAGCCGGAAGCCTCCGATATAGCTTGACCTCCCCGCAGGCCGGGAGCTTTTCTTCACCAACCCACCTTCCAGGTCCGGGACGCCGAAAAAGGAGACTCCCAACTGACAGTGGAGACCCCAAAGAGGGGCTCTAATTGATCAGAGGATTCCATTGTGAAGATCTACCATTCCAAGAGGCGACCGACCCGAACCAACTGCTACATGTTGGTTCGGTCCATTTCACTCTGGTTGTGAGGGTCAAAACCTTAGCTATGAGGGTAAAATTAGCTTTTGGGTTAGTATAATTATTATCCCAAGCTCCAAGGGCCCAGCAGCTATGCCACGTTTGGTGAACAAATCTCTCTCTCGCTCTCTCACTCAGTGACTGCACTGAAACCTGCCTCAAAACTCATGATATCTGCTTGACTTCGACCCTTGACTCATCCCTGCTCTCTTGGCATTGCCCCTCGGAACAATCCTGCTGCCACTTCACTAGCAGGTCCCAGGTCCATGCCGCGCGAGGTTTTCGGCGTGCGTGCTATGCGGAAAGCACTTGAACACCGAAATCTGGGGCACTTGGGAAAGCCTGGGTTTCCAACCCATTCTTCATGTTACTAGTCAAGGGCAGTTACACCTGACCAACCAAGCCGTGCAACTAGTGAGTGCTGTGGCCAGAGGGGACTCAGAAGTGGAAAGTTTCGCTCTTCGTTCACTTGGTGTTTTGATGCGTTGTGTGAGACATTCCTCATAGCCAGGACCCTGGGGAAGTTTCCTCTTCTGTGTGACTACTGAGCCTCAAAGTTCAAGGACAGGTGTAGTCTTCTTCTACAGGTCTCTTGCCCAGGACTTCCCCCTCTTTCAAACAGAGAAAACCACTCCTTCGATACGGGCACAGCCCCTCTGCTGTGCCAGGTTGTCTAAGAATCCTTGGATCACCAGTCTCATGTAAGGATGTTGCTGAGCCAACTGCCTTGGAAGTCAGCGTTTTCCGCTGCGTCCGACCGTCCGACAAGGGCGTAGTGGAAGCCCAAGGCTTGGCGGCAGCTGCCGGCAGCAACAGACCGAACCAAAACACCTCTTCCCGAGGCTGGTGGATTCATCCCAGTTCGGCACCATGATGCTTATTGCTTGAAAAATCGATCGTCCGGGTACGTCGGGGGGGGTCTAAGACTGGCCCCACCTGACACTGGGTGGTTCTGGTAGTTTCCCCTACAAAGCTCGGAACTCACTCATGGCGAACACGTGCGAGCGCCTCTTCAAGGAAGCTCCCCCTCCGCCGCACACGAGGGGAGCTTCCTTGAAGAAACGTGAGCTATCCTGCGTCAATATCTAGTAGCGTCCCATTGCTAGTACGTAGCGTGTTTACCTCCCTACTTCACAGTGGTGGCCTGAGTTTCTCAACCAATCACCTCAGTCATGCCAAGTCTCTGAAGCTCTGGCTGGATTGCCTCCACATTGAGGTTTCTCTGTGACATAGTTTCCCAGACCTTCTGCTTCATCCTGCGTGCATGTGGCTTGCTGCGAGGCCAAGTCCCTCATGTCATCGGCCCTCCCTTTCACCAAAGAGGCGAGCCCATCCTCTGGTTCAAGCCTTTACCCTACCCAGTGCATCCCAGCAACCAGGGATTCGTTCGGTCGAACTGGTTTGAGTCGAACTGGAACCAACTGGGACTCCCAGCGACCTCGTGGTTTGCCTGGATGCCCTGGGCTGCGTACCCGTCCGATCGGATTCCGGTTCGACCATGGGAACGACCTGGTGGGCCTAATTCGGGATGACCCGCCTATTCAATTCCTGCTGGGCCCGACCGGTCCCCCCCCCCCGCCGGGCACCGGATCTGAGTCGCCACCCGACGTCCAGGGGTCACCTCATGGGTGATGAGGTTTTGCCCAAAAGCGACCCACAACCGGCCCCAACTGCAAGGAAGCTACATGTTGGTGAAGGGTCCATGTCACCCTGGCCTCTTGGTGAATGGGCCTCTTGTTTTGGTTTCCATGAGCCTCTTGGGACAGGTTTGGTCCATGAGCCTCTCATCAGCCTCATGGGCTGATTCGCAAGAACTGGGTCATGTGCCCATCAGCTGCCGGCATGACCACATGAGGTCCCAACTGTTCTTCTACGTGCACGCGGTCCTGCGGCGCTTCTCCTTGGGCGGACGCATGAAATCGTCCCGAACATGGCCACGATGGCAGAAACCGCACTGGTTCCCACGACTGCAGCCATAGTCCGAGGCGAAGAAGACGCAGGGGTTGCTCACGTCACCACTGGACCTGCCAATCGCGTCGTGCCCAACGTGCCACGCGCGTCACGTCCGTTCGCCGCGTTCGCCACAGCGAGGCGACCGGACCCTGTCGATCGGAAGACGCCAGCCCGCTCACAGCGCCCGACTGGTCTCTCGTCTAGGTGCATTGCCTGGCAAAAGTGGCCGTTTTTCCACCGGTGCGCAGGTCAGAGTCCTATAGACACCAAGTTATAAAGCCATACACGACACGGCATATGAAACCCGATCAGCTGACAAAATGACATCAACCACTGTCAACCACTGCAAATATGCCAGTCCCATGGAGTGTCTGGGAATTGTTCTGCATTGTTCTGCACATGAGGAAAAGAAAGAGCCATTCTAGACCAGTCACAACTCCAATTGGTCCGAATCCATCCACCACCTCCATTCGAGTGTGTACTTTAGTATAGGGAGACACCCTGGTCTATTCTTTCCTTCTTCCAGGGTGTCGAAGTGGGAGGTCTCTAGGGGCAGAAAATCATCTTCCGAAGCAGAACCTCCCCAGACTCTTCCACGCTCCGAACGATGATGGATCCTTCCCCAAGCCGCCCCGAACGTGGCGCTTGACCACTTGCTACCGACCAAAACCAACTTTCGGACTCCCGTCCACTTCCACTGAAAACAAAACGACTGGACTGGGACCTGTTCGAAGCAAATCATATACTTTCTCTGGATCAAGTTCTTGCACCCTCAAAATAGCACGAAAGCTCAACTATGGTTCCTCCCACACGAGCAGAAAAGGAGCACCTCGTTCCTCGATCGTTCCTCGTGGTCCAACGACATGTCTTTTCGCCCCCACCCGGGCCGACTGGACGGAGCGAGGCACACACACACAGCCGCTTCACACACCCAAACACGACCCGTCTGGGACTGCCATAGGACTGCCGCCCCAGACAGACCCCTCTGGCACCACCCCAACTGATCGGCCAATATACCAGTCCCATGGGTTGTCTGGGACAGCTTCACACGTCGTTCAAACCCAGTAGCCGAGCGTCCCTGAAGACGCTGAAGCGTCCCTGACGACGTCGAAGAGATCCCGGACGACGGAGCTGGCTCCACCGCTTGAAGCTGGCAGATGCGCCTGACGGGATGTGCCGAGACGGTGCCGAGCGACGGAAGGAAGACGTGTGACGGGTGTGACGCTTGTTGAGTCTGCAGCGAAGAACTGAGAGGACCGGGACCAAGAGGTCGGCCGTTGTTGATGCGAGAATGGTGCAGTATGGTGAAGTGATATGCATGGTGCATGGTGTAATCATGTAAAGTAAGCCCTATAGGAATGGCCCCACGTCCGAACCTTCCTACCATTTCCTATAGCCCTACCGGACCCATTCCCCTATACCGAAACGATCGGTGCCAGGTCGGACCGACCCCGAACAGCATGAGGTCGGGGTGGGGGTCGGGTTCCTATCATCGGCCCAGTAGTCCTGTATAGCCTGCAGCTATCTGAGGAAAAAAACCATGGTGCTGGTGGCGTGAAGCTACCGTAAAGTCCGGACCGTCAAGTCCAACCGGTGACGAAAGACGACCATTGGGAGATGAAATGAGTGACGACAAACCCTCACGCAAGCAGTGCGAAACTCACCTGTCCTCAAAGGACTTATACTGGGAACACGCCGTCTCGTGTCGACAGAGCCGGAATTAGTGGGATTGGATCCGTCTTCTCTTGCAAAACCACCAAGAGAGGTCAAGTGACCTTCTAGGACCTTGGTGGGGTACCAAACTGGGATAGTCTATAGGGTCCTTCAACCTCTGTTGGCATCACATCGACCGATCCGTGGTCCCATCTGTGATCGACTGTTCCGATGCCATCCAGTTCGCAAACCCAGTTCGAAAACCCACCGACCATCCTCACGCATCAAAAACCCACCGGCCCGACCCGGTAGGTCCGTGATGTCGGTGCGCCTTCCCGGAACGTCGAGTCCCACACCGAACCTCAACACCCCCAACTACCAAGAGAGGTCAAGTGACCTGAACTAGGACCTTGGTGGGGGTACCAAACTGGGATAGTCTAGTTCAGGTCCTTCAAGCTCTGTTGGTAGGGAGAAAAATGTGTTGCCATGCAAGTCCGCGGCCCCAGACCCGAGATCGAAGACCCGACCCGGCCTCAAGGGCTCTGGCTCACTTCCAAGTGGGCTCAGTGAGTTGTCCTTTCCCAGCGACCCACGACCTGTCTGGATTATTCTATTTTGCTGGCGATTGACCCCTGAAATAGATGTCCCATCCCAATTGATCGGCAGTCCGCCAGTCCGGCGGTCGTGTGGCTTGACCAGTGGGGAGGCTCGATCTGAAGTGTCGCTGGTCTTTGGTGAACTGAAGAAGCTCGGGAGACTTGGGGATCCGAGACTTGTTGGGTCATCACCGGTGCGACTGGTGTGCTTTCCAGCAGCACTTAGGGACTTGGCTTCCTTATCCGAAGCAAACCATGACCAAAAGGCTGAAACATGATGAAACATGAGTGTTCTGTAGGATTCGATCAACCATTGTTTTGATGGTCTTTTCATCCCAAAGAACCATTTTCTATGGATATTTACACTACATTCACCAGGTCGTTCCAATGCATTTCTTCGGCTTTCACCAGCACCATGCCAACCATGCCATTTTCATGAACCGCGAATCAACCCCAAACGCGACCAGTCTAGGACTTCGGAGGGGAGGATGACCTCGTGGATTTTGGGCCAAACGGTTCGGGTTGACCGTTCGAAGTGTCACAGATTCCGCAGATCCGAGTCATTTGGGGGTCCCAAGAGGTGCGGAGGTCCCAAGAGGTCTCTCTTCGCTTTCTGCTGACGCAACTGCCACGCATGTGCTCACTGTAGATGTCACAGTGATGAGGCAACGAGATGAAAAGAATCCACCCCCACCTAGAGCACGTGTCAAATCGATGTAAACCTGTGCAAGACGAACTGGACGCGAGTCGATCGTGAAAAACGATGCCCGGGGTACAAAATAGTAAACAGTGTCCAAAATATCAACGGCTCTATGCCTATGTCCCCCAAAAACAATTCCTCCGCCGAAAACACATTATCCCGGCAAGAGACCTCAAACAGTGTAAAGTTCGAACATGACGGATCCGAGGTAAAGCACCCACTAGAGGGAAAAGGAAGCAGTAAATAGAGGGAAGAGAAGGGGGTCGCACTGTGTGCAGGCCGAAGCGAAACATGAAAGGGGTAAAGGAAGGAAGCAAAAAACAGAAAACAGAGTGAGCGCAGGTCGCACGTCTTTGTCCTTTGCAGGGTCTGAGTGGGCGTCGCGGAGCCGCACATAGATGAGGTGTCGGGCATGAGAGCACACAGGCAACATTTTGCAAATGCAAAGCATTTCACTGCAAACATGCAAGTTGAAATCGCCAAACAAAAACGAACTCTAGTTCTTGAGGTCTAGAAGCAAGAGTCTGAAGAATGGTCTAGAGGTCGGGAGAACGATCGAAGTAGAGATAAAAACGACAAAGGCGTAGGCCTAGATCTAGAAAGTGAATTGACGAAGTCGGTCTCTCGGTCTAGAGATCTAGAGACCAAGGCTTAGAGAGCACACATCTGAGAGCACAGTCATCAGAGAACGCATCTGAGAGCGCGTGTCGGAAAGCACAGATTGCTGCGCCTGCCATGAAATGCACTTCGAAATTCCCACTGTGCCTGTCACGAAATCTGCGCATGGATGTTCACAAAGTGCTGCGCCTGGCACGAACTCTGCACTTTGAGGTTCACAAAGTGCTGTGCCTGCCACGAAATCTGCACTTCGAGCTTCACAAAGTGCTGCGCCTGCCACGAAATCTGCGCTTCAAGATTCACATGCCGCAGCCCTGCCAAGGCGCTTTGCCGCAAGAAGACAACATCCAGATGCCAAAACGCAGCTTTCGCGCGAGATTTCCGAGACTTCTGAAAACGAGCCTCAAGAAGAGTCACGATTCACTGCACCTGCGATGAAATTAGAGCGCGTTGAAGATCACCACCATATCCAGAAGTACTGTGCCTGCCACGAAATCTGCATTTCGAAGTAAAACCGCTCCCTTGCGCCTGTCACGAAAAGTCGACTTTGGACCACCAAAACACGAGTTTTCCCTTGCGAGCCTGCGCAGTCGAAATGCACTTCGGACTATTTCGAGAGGCATGAATGTGCCGTATAGCAACGAACTAGCCGGACACGACCGCCTGACACGTCGATTAGACATCTTCCTTTATATAGTACCGTAAGAACCCCTAGTGTGACCACACTGTTTGAGGAATCATCAAAAAAGCCGCACCAAAGAAAGAGGCTCTCCTCTTCATCCATGTGCATTTTGGCGATCGGGACTGCAACTCGGACGTCGGGTCTCGGTCCGACTTTTGAGCCGCCCAACGCTGCCAAGACGAAGGAACGCTGCCAAGCAAATGGAGCCAATCCTCCATCTACTATGACCAAAAGGGTGGCCTAGCCACCCCCAAAAAACGAATACAATATATTACAATAAACATCATATGTGGGGAAAGTGTCTCGAAACTGGCACTTGATCTCTCTCCGTGCCCTGTTTTGATCTCTTACGAAAACGACTGGCGTTTCGCTTCTGGGTTTTGGCATCGCGGTGATATCGCGGCGATGTCCCAGGCGACGAGCGCGTGAGCACCTTTTCCGAACCTCTGACTAGGGCCTGCGCGAACAAAAGGCCCATGAATATGGTGTTGGGGGAAGTGAGAAATGATGGGCACCAGAAAAACATTGGCACCATTTGGGCACTTCCTGTCGATGCTAGGAATCTACTTGCGTCGTTCGTGGTTGTTTCATGTTTGAGGTTTCTTGGAGTTTGCTCAAATGTCAACTGGTTTTAGTCCCTCACTCCCTCACAGGTGATGACCCTTCCAAAATGTCCAGGATCGTAGGTTCTATTTTGTAACTTGTGCTGGAGGCTGGGCAGCGGCGGGTAGATGCCCAAAGATGCCATCAAACCAGCGAACTGCTGGGGTAGCGCTGAACAAGCGCTGTGTCGCTGAACAAGCGACATTGATGGGATCAGTTTTTCCGATGGGATTTGCTGAAAGAGGCACTAACTGATCCGTAGATTCTGACTGCTATTTTTTGTTTGGCATCCGGTCGACGGGACGGGAAAGGCTGAGTCAGAGCCAGAACAGTCTGTGTGATTTTACCGCCCACTGAAAGATGTGGGACGCTTAGAGTAAAGAAACCATCTGCGCATGGTTAACAAACACCCAGACACACTGCGACATGGGTCTACACGTGGCAGGTGTTGAATGCAGATTTTAGGTGGTGAATGCTGTCGTACATATCTCTCTTTACACTTTGCCTCAGAGCCTCTCGAAGCCTCAAAGTTTCTAGATTCAAAGCCTTGCCCTGTCCTAACCTCGCCTGATCTCTGCTGCGTAGCTGAAACTGTTAGGTTGGAGCAACAATTCTTACTCTAGGGATTGGCAATTAGAATTGCAATGTTTTTCAAGAATCTTTGTACGGAGAGATTGGGAGCGCTTTCCACTCTCTCTACCAGACCAACGGGCCGCGAAGGCTTCCGCCCCACAGTGCTGCTTGGAGGCAAAAGTCAGACCTGATCCGAGAGATTGCGCACGCTAACCAGTACTCCCGCGGGCTGAAGAAGCTGAAGAAGAGTGATTGTTTTTCACCGCGCCAGCCAGCATGCACAGTTTGGTGCGCAATGACATGAAGCCCCGAAGCAACCACAAGCAAGAAGAACACCAACACCAATGGTTGGTTTGAAGCAATGGAGTGAGATTGATTTGAACACTGGCGAGGGAGGCTGCTTGGGCGAGACCTATTGGAAAATTCCATTGAAGTCGGGCAAGGCCCTCCTCATATTCTGTCTTGGGCGTCCGATTGTTTCTTTCATCACCAGTGACTAATCTGCCGAGTCACTTCTTTCGTTCGTTTTTTCTTTGCTTTCTTGTCCTTCTTGTTTGCCTTGTCTTTCTTGACAGGCCGCTGTGGAGACTCTCTCTTTTCCACTTTGGGCTTCACCGAGCCATCTGTCGAGTCACTTCTTTGGTTCTTTTTTTCTTTGCTTTCTTGTCGGTCTTTTTGGCCTCGTCCTTCGTGACAGGCTTTTCAATCTTCTCCACCTTGGGCTCCTCTGAGCCCTCCTCTTTCGCAGGCTTGATTCTCTTCTTTTGGTGCATCCAAGTTCTTCCGCTCCTTTGGCTTTTCTTCATTCTTTTGGTGACCACTCTTCTTTGCCAGTTTTGCGATTTTGCTCTCCTCGTCTTTTCCGGGCTTCACATCTTTCTCCTTCGATGCTTGCTTCACCTCCGTCTTCTTCTCTGCTTTTGACTGGTCGTCAGTCTTGTCCTTGCCGTTTCCCTGCGGCAGATCCTCCTTCAAGCCTTTCTCCTCTCTACTTTGTTCTTCTATCGGCGCTGCCTTCTTCTGCTTTCTGTGGTCCTTCATCCTTTCTGCCACTCACGTGGCAGATCCTGCTCTGGCCCCATCTTCTTGGCCTTTTTGTCTTTTGTGCTGCCCTTTTCGTCGTCGGGCTCCGGTGTCAACGTCTCCATCTTGGCTTGCCGAATAGCCTGGATCTCGTCCGCGGACACAAATTCTGGGTAGAGGAACGGTTCCTGAGCAGAGTGTGGGGCGTACGGCATATGCAAAAGCCTGTAAATTGTAGAGCCTGATCGTGCCTGGTCTCAAACAAAGCCAGCCTCCTTGACGTGCCCACCTCAGCCTTCGATTCTGGCTTTGCCGCTTGCTGCTGCGGAACTGGCCGCGCTGGTAGTTGATGCCATCTTTCTCTCTTCCTGGCCAGGGAGTGGCTTGCAAAAGGCAAGATAGAAGCCGAAGGCTCCTATAGCGCTTGTGCAGCGCTCCTTACAACGCTTGTCCAGCGCTCCTTTTACAGCCATTTTTTCTGACTTGCAGCAGAAACGGGAATCTGTTGGGCACATGCTCATAATGAGACTGTGGCTAGATGGGGCTACATGCGCTGCTCGCACCAGGCCTCCATGCGACGCTCCAGTGCCATCATCCTCAAGGCCTGGTCCTGCACACGGCTGCTGGTGGGTGCCCGCGATCACGCCGTGATCACTGTTTAGCGTGCACGTTATCTCAGTCTGGATGCCAGCCATACCGAAAAGCGTCATGCTCAAGTCTGCCAAGGAACAAGTTCATTACCCACGACGCTCTGGGGCCTCAGAGTCTTAGCAGGGGAGAGCGCAAGAGGTACACTTAGAATATACCTTGAGGTGAGGTGCAGAGAAACATACGGAAACCCTGTCACGTGTAGACCCACTTCGCAGTGTGTCTGGGTGTTTGTTGCACTTCGGGGTTCATGCCTTATCCTGCCCACTCAGAGCTAAGAGAAACCATGTGCAGATGGTTTCTTTACTCTAAGCGTCCCACATCTTTCAGTGGGCGGTAAAATCACACAGACTGTTCTGGCTCTGACTCAGCCTTTCCCGTCCCGTCGACCAGATGCCAAACAAAAAATAGCAGTCAGAATCTACCGATCAGTTAGTGCCTCTTTCAGCAAATCCCATTGGAAAAAGTGATCCCATCAATGTCGCTTGTTCAGCGACACAGCGCTTGTTCAGCGCTACCCCAGCAGTTCGCTGGTTTGATGAAATCAGTTTTGCCATCCACCAATCGTCGCACCTGCTCAGCCTCCAGCACAAGTTGCAAAATTGAACCTACGATCCTGGACAGTTTGGAAAGGTCATCACCTGGGAGGGTGTGAGGGACTAAAACCAGTTGATCTTTGAACAAATTCCACGAAACCTCAAACATGAAACAACCACGAACCATGCAAGTAGATTTAGGTCAATGATGCCTGTGAAAGGGTCGAACGGAACACGACTGAGTGGGGAACCCAAAAAAACACAAATCACCTCCTCATCCCTTCCACCGAGTTTCAGGTGACTTCCAAACCAATATGGGACTGGTAATGTCTCGTGGCCTACTCTCTGCCATCAAGCTCAAAAGGCCCCCAAAAGAAGGCAACCATCTAACCTGCAGGTCTTTTTTCACGCTTTCGATCCAACAACTTCCACAGTTTTCGATCCGCCGCAGTGAGCAGGTAAGGCGCCAGTCGTTTCTTCTCGGCACATCCAGTCCGTCCTCCAGTTGACCCCTCCTTCGAGCGAGAGGGGTTCAATCCATAAGGTCCTCCCAAAACTGCCTTCGGCGGTTGTGATTTGGCCGCTCCTCTGCTTGGCAGAAGCGCATACGCTGAACAAGGTCATCCGGCAGAAACCATCTACGACCGACAGCAGTCGGCTGTCATTGCGGTCCTTGGGACAGCGCGAAGATCGTCGCGTTGGAGGTGAAGGACGAGATGATCAATTTAGCTGAGCCAAATCTGCCATCATGGCTGAAGAGAATCAAGTGTTGAGAAGAGAATGGACCAACATGGGGACAAGAGAATCAAGTGTTGAAACAATCTGCCCGAGATGAGATCCTTGTCTATGAACTCCATGTGGGCAGGCTGAACAGGGGGTCCTTCAATGTGGGGATTCTCACCTCCCAATGCGTTTGCCATGGGACAAATTAAGGTTTTAAGGTGGCTACCAGGGGCCCTCACAACCATGAAAAACAAAGGTCTTCACGTACAAAAATCATGGTTTCTTCTTGTGAAAACCTGGTTTTTGATGGGCCATGTGGGGGGGCCCTGGGTCTGGGGATGACCCATCATGGGTCTCCCGTCTTGACCTCTTGACCGAGGTCCCACGCTCTCGGGATGTGTTTGGTCATCCCCGGATATGCCTCATCCTCAACCTTCGTTCAAAATGGACGTTGAAGGAGCTCGACCGCAGTCCAGACCTGCCCTGCGCTTTCCGGTCTGCTCTGCCCAGCCGGCAGTGCTGGAAGGTGTCTGTCGGCCCACGTCTGGAAGAACTGGAAGAATGCTTCGCTCAACGAACTGGTTCTCCCTACAAATCCATGTGTTTTTCTTTCGAAATGAGACGAAGCATGGGGGCTTCGACCCGATGCCCGGGTGCTCGTGCTCATCCCTGGCGCCCGACGGAAGGGCACGAGAACGGCCCAGTCCCACTGGGACTGCCAGACACGACCCGTCTGGGACTGCCATAGGACTGCCGCAGACAGACCCCCTGGCACCACCACCCCAACTGATCAGCATCTATGGCAGTCCCAGACGGGTCGTGTCTGGGAATGGCTTTGGAATGGGCTTCGGAGCCTTAGAAACCCACCTGGATCCTTGGCCGAAATCGGCGCGGAACGCACGAAGAACACTCTGGTGGTTTTGGGGGGGGGTTCAAAACCTGAAACATATGCCCGTTTGGGCGACACCCGTCGGAGCTTCTTAGAAGGTGGGACTGGGGTGGGTGCCATGTTCAGGTATTTGAAGAGGTAACCTCCTGGAAGCCTAGGGATGAGGAGAAACAGTTGAACATTACCCAGACGCTCCATGGTACTGCCATAGGACTGCCGAGAAACGGCCAGGGGTGGTGCCAGCAGGGTCAATAGTAGGGTCAATTGATCGGCAGTCCGGCAGTCCCATGGAGTGCAGTGTATGGGTTATAGTTCACACCCAGACCCCAGACCGCTTTGGTCGGTTTTGGCCCTTCAGATCCTTTGGTCCTCCGAGTTGAAAGTCCCATCCACCACGGGTGCCCGGTGCGCCCGGTGGACCATGTTTTCGATTCACCAGCACGGACGACCACGGACCGACACCCATGCGGGGTGGAGTCGGAGTGTCGTCCACCAACTCCATGGTTCGGAGTTCAGAAGAGAAGTCTTGCTTCATGCCCTACGAATCCTAGCTTGAGGCTCTCCATGGCAGGGGAGAGAACCCTCAATGGCAGGGGTCTGGGCCCCTTCACCAAAAGCTATGTGTTTGAGGGCCCGGATTCTTAGGGTGTCTTAATCAGTAAAACACAGAGAGATCATGTGTCTGGCTTTGCTTCCAAGCTTGCTGAGCATGTGGACTTGCTTGCTTATGTCCGGCGATCCGACCGGCCATCGGATCGCGTGTTATTCCGCAGGGTGTTTCTTGGGTGGAGAGTGGATGGAACAAAGCATCATCATGGGAAGAACTTGGGGGGTCTATCTAAACCACCCGAACTGGGTGCTGCAAAGCTGATTCATAAGTCTGCGGAGCAAGGATCGAGACATCTCTGCTCGACCGCCGCCCTTGCCTTAGACGCAGGTGGACACTGGGCCAAAAGACATCAACCTCTCGGCTCCTTTTGGGACTTACCCATGCCACTGGGTCCCCCCATGGGTTCCCCAGGTTCCTGCTACAGACTTCCCAGACTTCCCAGATTTGGCGCCCTTCTTGTAATCTGCAGGACTCATGCAGTTGGAGCTGAGAAGTCTTCATGAATGGATCTTGAGGCACAAACATATACACTTCGTGAAATAGTTATGGAAGTGGATGGCATAGCTCCTGGGAAGACAGGAGTGCCTCAAGCAGAGGAAGATACTTAACAAACAACCATCTATCTGGATTGTCCCACCTTTGAAGTGCACCACTCTGTTAGTATGCCATGGGACCGTAAGATCACACCACTTCTATAGTCCCATCTGTGGGGGACACAAGCCTGAGAACAGAATTGTGTCAAGAGTTAGGAGGTCTCCGGGGCTATCGGTTCTTTTCCTTATCGTTTTTACAGTGGCTTGAGCATGCGTCTGGCAAAACGGACATGCAACGCCACTCCTTGCAGTGTCATACCAACTACTCTTCAAACCTGGCCTCCCAACAAAGACCAGCAGTGCACAGGAAACAAGCAATCCACCCAGGGTAGGCGTACTATTCAAATCCTGAATCCGGGTTGGAAACGCTCTGCTTTCTACCAGCAGTTCCAACAACAATGGTTTAATAGTCCCATACAGTGGATGCGACAGGGGCGCCTCTATGCTTGTGCTCCAAAAATAGCACCCAACTCTATGGAACTGCTTTCTAGACCTGGCCCCTTTGGCCTCCAGGAGCTACCGAACCTGAGAAGCTGGGACGGACGGTTATAGGGGTCCCGGGTGCCAGGTGAACGGGTCCAGGAGCTACCGAACCTGAGGATGTAGGGCTGCATTTGGTTTCGCTTCCTTCGCTTCCTCACCGGACACGACCCACGTCCGGACGGAATGCACTGCGGGGGGACGGGACGGACGACCATGAAGAAATCAACCCCTCAACCCACGGGGCTGAACAAGGCCAAACGGTCCGTCCGGTCCATCGACGTGACCGAACTCGTGGACCGAACTGAGTGCCGTGCCGACGCGTCTACGCGTGCGCGACGCGTCGAAGCACCGAAGCCACGCGACGCGGGTCACTAGGCTTAGACCGTGTGGCTCACACCTATCTATAGCAGCAAGTTGGCAACACCCTCCTTCCCTTGGTAGGGGTGACGCCCTTTGTTTGCTTTCCAAGACACCTCTTCGAGAACCGCCTTTTCCTTTGGAGGTCTCCTGCCATGGTCTGGACTTCCAGGAAAAAGGCACCACATCTCTGGCGATGACCGATTTCAATGGGAACAAATGAACCATGATGAAGCCAAGGAACTGTCAAGAAATCTTTGACACGACGAATGGGACTGGCATACTTACCTGCATTGGGGTGTTGAAACAGGGGTCGATTGTATAGGCAATAGATTCCAGTAACATGGAGTGTCTGAGAGCAATGGTGAAGAAACATCTATCAAATGAACTCATCTATATCAATGCCACAGTTGGGCTAGTGCATTGCTGGGATGCACGGAGCTGGAACTCTTTTTGTCAAATATGCACTATACGGGGACATTCAAATAGTTTCCTCAGAATTCTAGGCACTCCCTATTTCTTTTTGGCCGAAGACGCTATTTGATCCCGCTCTACAGAACAAACCACCAGAGATGCCACAAGACTGAGCTCGCGAGCCAGAACCCTCCAACAATCTCCAACTCAACTCCACTGAAGGATATCTCGTCCACACCTTCCACTACCTCCCACTATCTCCAACTCCTCCATGCCCAGACGGAGACCAAATGGCTCGACTGACCAGCTCGGTTTCCGGTTCGCTCGCGCCACCGATCGCGACACGAAACCGTCGACCGCGTCCATCGGCGCCTGCGGAGATCTCTGCGGAACTCGCAGGCCGCCTGAGCCACGAACTGGGTCTCGTTGGACTGGGCAGTCCGCGGCACATGGCCGAGGCCTCCGTGACAGCCCTACTTCCTCGCTTGGTGAGAAGGGCCGGACCCCATGAGAGGAGTCGGGTTTTTCGAACAGGGCACCTACTTAATATGCTCCGAAAAGGGACTCCGAAAGGCCCATCTCCTCAGGTCTGGTGTTTTCGAATCCCCCCCCTGGCACCCACCCTGCTTGCACCTTCGAAACGGAGGCAGGTCAGGAACCCTAGGGATGGCTCTCATGGTAGCAGCTATTGACTTCAACAAAGACTGCGAGCTCCAGGGCACTGTTACATCTCTTCATCTCTTCCATGTTTTTCGTTAACTAGATGGTAACTCTACACCAGCACCGCCCAGGAGCCGGGTAGTTGAAAAGACCCCATGCCCTGAACTATCTTTTGTTTCCATCTAATAACCACCTAAACTGGTACTCTACCAGGGGCCCCACAAACCATCAAAAACCAGGTCTTCCCTAAAAAAAACCCTGGTTTTTGTACGTGAACACCTTTGTTTTTCATGGTTGTGAGGGCCCTGGTACATGTACTTCGAGATGTTCTTCGCCATCGAAGAGCCACGGTCTTCCACGCCCACACCGACCGCGACGCCTCCCCAGATGTGTGGTCGCAGCTGGGGCGGTGTATCGCCCCAGGCATGGCGCAAGGGCAAGGCCTCAACCGTGCAGCGTCCATTTTTGGGGCTGAGATCTTCCCAAGACCGCCGAGAAAGGCAGGGCTTTGGTTCAAGCTTGCGGCATTCAGGTCAGGAAAACCGGACCCAAAAGCATGAACCCCGACACGACGCGACCCGCGACTCGAATCCCCAAATACTCGGGTTGGAGGGGAGTCCAGGGCTCGAATCAATCCGGTGACCTTGGAGGGACCGGAAAGCATGCACCTGGACCCTCCAAAGTACCTTAGAACATGGGACACGACCCTAAACAAGACAGGTGCATGCTTGTACCCATTTTCTGAAGTACGAACAGGTCGACTCCAGGTCGGGCTCAGTAGTCACGGAGACGCCGGTCGTCCCCCCTCCCCAGCGGCGCTCGACCAGGGGACACCCTTCAGGGTCGGTCCCGACCGAGGTGCTCAGTGGAAACTGGACCGACCAGGTTTGACATGAACTCATGCCACTGCTCATGTCCCTACTCCAGCTGAAGTAGTGAATATACAGCTTAAGTGTTCTTGAGTAGTGTTCTTGTAAGTAGTGTTCTTGAGTAGTGTTCTTGTATGACTATAACAGTATTAGGTATACTATCTTTGTATGACCAACTCCATGTATGAACTGGGGCGTCGGACGAAAAACCTGAACTGGGTGGTGCTGGTCGACTCGGTAGACTAAGAACCCCCCATATGTATGAAGAGGTGTTTCAATTCTGGTTGTTTTTTTTGTGCACGTGTTTCTTTTCTTCCTTTCTGGAAGCCCCCCTGGTCCGAACATGCTCTCTTTCTCACAGACCACCTCCAACACCCGTCCTACAATAGGACAAGGGTATGTGTGGATGCGAACATGCTCGCAAGTCCGTTATTTTCAAGAGTCGACATCAAATGGCTTTGGGGACTGCCTCTCATCCTAGCCCAGGCACATCCAGGTCGATCTCCACGTTCAACGCAGGGATCAGCGGGCGGAAGTAGTCGCGACTCAGCTGAAAATCTCTCCATGGGTGTTCCTCAGATTGCACGTTTGGATGGTTTCTTGATTGAGAAGACCTCCAAAGGACCCATTGGTGATGGATGAAAAGCATGTGAAAACCAATCACAGATCATCTTTGATGTCAACCTTCCCTAATTCGTCATTTTGGATGGGCAAACACACACCCACACATTTGGCCAGCTGTTTGGGATGTCAACATTTGACAGTGAATGGGGCCGGGCATGATTATACTAGTACCCTTTGGGGTTGAAACTTGAACCCTACCAATTCAGATCCTGAATATATCTCCATTTATATGCACGTATTCTAGCTGAACTCCAGTCACACCGGGGTAACTCAACACCGGTGTGGAACCACTGATTGCTTTGAAATCCTAGTGTGGAACCTGCAACAGAAAGCCTCCGGATGTGCCCATTTCGCGATGTTCCCATGAGAAGTGCCCGGTATCCGATTGGATCTGATGAAAACCCGTTGGCCTGACCCGTTCGACCATTAAAGGAATGGAAACGACCTGGTGGTGTATAGTGTAAAAGGCCTAATATAAGTTTTAAAGTAAGAACCATTAAATGGTTGTTGGAATCCTAGAGTTAGGGTTTTGCCACGCGCCAATGGATGGCCTATAACAGTTTCCCTTTGTGCGAACAAAGACCCATGCAACAACATGACCCAATGGATGGAGTGTCCAAGGATCGTTGCTAGTTTTCAGTCTGCGAGCCTTCTCCACTCTCTCTTTTAAGCCTTCGCAACTCTGAGAACTGGTTCCTCATGGGTGGAGTCCTTCCTGTGGTTCTAGATCAAATAGTAGGGGCTCTCATTTCCAGAATTGTCTATCTTTATATGTTATTTGGTTTCTCTCCACCAAACAAAGGTAACAATCACGTCCCTTCAAGCAACATCTCCTTAACCAGCACCACGGAAAGGGGTGTCCATTAACCACCCCTTCATTTCCTTAAGCCCAGGAGCTCCTGCTCCAGCACCCAGCTGGACCACCCACGCGTGCCCCGGCAGCCAGAAGTACTCGTAATCCCAGTTCGTGCGGTTGGCTGCGCAGAACCACAGCGGGGAGTCCTGCGGAAAGCAGAACCTTTGCGTCAACAGGAACCGGGGGAAACGCAGGATGTTCGTGGCCAGTTGTCGTCTGGGAGCAGAAGAACGTCAGCCTGGAGGAACTGGTGGTGAGACGTTCTTTTCCTGTCAAGCACCCGTGACAAGCAGAGAAGAGGAACAAAACCATGGAACAAACCCAGGAGTCACAAAGGGGTGGTGTTTAGTCCCTAAGTGAGTGGATAATGGGCACCCTTAACCTCCATTAAGCACCCCTTTGTGACTGCTGGACCATGTTCTTTGGAACAGGGGGTATCCAAAGGAGCTCTATTGGCACATCTCCAAAGACTGTGATTCCTTCCACCGCCTTTTGTAAAAAGGCTGGCTCCAGCCCTCGGTGCAAAGCTCCTCTTTCCCGAGGCTGTTCAGCCCTTGGAGAGGGGAAAGGTCAGGTGGCTGTGGAACTCAAAACCTCCCTCCCCAAACCATGGTAGGTTGACATGAACCATGGTAGGTTGGACCTTCAAAGAGGTCTTTACATGGAGATCCCGGATAGTCGTGGGCTGGGGCTTCCATTGGCCAGCTCCCGTCGATCGCCCACACCGGGCGTTGTTCGAACGTGTTCGTGACAAAAGCAGCCACCAAAAGGGACATCTTCCTCAACCCGAAAAAACGCCAAGACCATCCCATCTCGCCAAGACCCCAAAAAGCAAGAAGCAGACAGAAAACAAAACACACACGGTTGCCACCGGGCACAGCGGCCAACCAGAGATCGCACCGGATCGCAGCCCGCCCAAGATCCGGTGTGGGCCGGGCCGCACCTTCGCGCGAAAAGTGCGTCGGCTCGGGCCGAGCCTGGTAGGGTTTGATCGGTATTCGCTTCAGCGGCCGCCCTTCGGTGCGCCACGGCTCACGTGCCAGGTCCTCGGAATTCGGGAGCCGCACCCGGAAGCTCGGTGGTATCCGAAAAGAATGAAGCAGAAGGATGGACTGCGACGGGTTTTTTAGGGAAGAAGGACATGAGTTCTCAATAGAGATTTCTTCCGGATCCAGTTACCCACATTCCCTACTTTCGTCGCACAAGTCAGGAGAGACAGGCAGGCCACAGCATCTGGGTGGTGGGTCAGGGGCACTCCGGATATTTTGATTGACCTACCTGGAAGGTCAAGCTCGATTCGATAGTGGATCAGGACTCCAGGGTCCAACACCAAACATCCATGTCACACATGTCCACTTTGGAATTGGAGTTGGACAGCACCTTTGCGTTGATGATTGAACTCATGACATAGTCTGACAGGCGATCCATGCAATCAGCTGCTAGGGATCTTCAAACAGTCCGTCTGGGAAGAAAGCGAACAAGAGGTCTTGTAACCTCTGGTGGCGGTCAATTAACATCTGGTGATCATCCTCGCACTGGCTGCAAATGCTTCAAACACGTTAAACCACTAAGTCACTTCCTGGAATGGGGTGTTTACATGGAGATCCCTAAGTAGCGTAGGGGCTTCCATTGATGACCCCTTTGAAGGTGCTGGTAGGAATGTTTGGGTTTGCTTCAAGAACCAGGAACAACACCATTTTCCCCAGAAGGATCCAGAAGGTTCACTCATAGGGACTAGTCCTACGTCGTAAACGTCATCCTCAGCAAAACCCCAGGATGTGTAGTCCTACGTCGTGGGTCGGAACGCGTTCCATGTCGGACAACATCCATGCCTTGCCAGGTGGGACGTGTGTACTCTCCGAAGGGTTTTTGTGCGAACAGGTTTCCCCCCACCTCATGATCCTCATGTTGACAGCGGCTCATGTTGGTTTGCGTATAGCTTTGGCCTCTTCGACTGACACTTCATGCTCTTCGGATGTGTCTTTCGCTGCTGGGGCGCGTCACCTCATGCTCTTCGGGCAACGCCGAACGCCGAACGCAACGCCCAACGCCCGCGCGACGCTTCGGTCCTTGGGCAAGGAGGAGAGCTCCGGCACCCAATGCAAGGTATGTTCGAGAAAGGCGTCGTGCACCGCCGGCCACACCACCACCTGTGGTTGTGTGAGCGAAAAAACACCAGAGTCTCTATAGGACACCAAGGAAAAGAGAAGCATGGCCTACTTGGAGGACTGCCCTGGTTAGTAACTGTTGGAAGACTTAGTTATTATAGTATAACCATATAGTCTAACCAAACTTGTAATTCGCTTTTATGACCGCTTGTTATCTTGGCCAAACACTAATAGAGATAGTTACTCACACATCTATATCTTATCTAACCAGTTAGAAGACTTAGCTCGCAAATGTTGCCAAGTTGTGTGCCTGGCTGAACCCACTGATCTAACTGGATAGGGCGGACTTAGCTAAGTCTTCTAAGTGACTTAGGCGCGACTTAGTTAAGGAGCCTGAGTCGACTTAGCTAAGTGGATTAGCGGGCTTAGCTAAGTGGATTAAGTCGACTTAGCTAAGTGGCCTAAGTCTCTGTTAGATCGTTTCAAAGGATCCCTTTTATATAGCGGCACGTGCGCGTGATTTGTTTCTTCTTGTGCAGATCAGCCAGATCAGCCTTGCTCCACGTGCGTGTGGCTGGTGTTGGGTGATTCATGGGGCCGGTTTCGTGGAGAGGGCCTTTCTTTGCGTGGCCGTTCTTGGTACACCTCAGAGATCAACCTTTGGTGCGAACCATTTGTCCTTCGCATGGCCTATTAGGATTTATTCGGTGCAATGCATGGCCTTTTTAGAGAGAATGAGTTTGTTTCATGTCTTGGTGTGAGCAGCTTGTCCTGGAGTGTCTGGGATAGCTTTTTCGATACCCCGAGCAGACACTAATTCGAAGCCAACATATCAGTTGCCGAACCTTCAGAATCTCAACATTCCGGACCGCTTCCTCAAAGTAACCCTAAAGGCTAAGGGTTTGTGGCATCTGCCGCTGGCCTTTCTGCTTGACCAAGTCTTCCTACAACCTTTCCTACATCTTCCTGATCACCTTCTTCCTACATCCTCCAACTGATCACCCCAACCCCCACCCTCACCACCTCACTGGCCCGTACTCGTACCGGCCGGTATACTCGTACCCGGCCTCGACGGTGTTCAGGTGTTCCTCCAGTGGATAGCTGCGCCGCGTCTCCGCCAGGCAGGGCCGTTGGAGGATCCGGTAAGCCCAATTGCCCCAGTTGGCGTCCGGCGTGTGGTCCAACAAGCAGGACCTCGGCCGGGAAGCCGCGGCACCGCCGCCGGAACCCGAACGCGGCGGCACCCGGAGAGGGGGTGCGGAGAGGGGTGGCCCGTTCAGAACCTAAACGAGGGCACCATGGCCTTCGGTGTGTGTGGCAGGGCCCATCGTGTTGCGCGTGTCCATTGGTGAAAGATCGGGCCTGTGGGGAGGGGTTTGACCAATTTGGAGACAAAAGGATTGTGGGACCTTTTGTGATCTTGAAGCACAGAATGCAAACTCTGTTGAAACAAAAAATAAGAGTCCGGTTCAACGGTTCAATCATTCCAAGTAAAGGTCGAACATAGACATATCTCAAACCGCGCAGCAATCCCCATTCAGTTTCTCTACAGGCCCTGCGTTTTCAGAATCGCCGATGGAACACGGCCCCCGATTTTCGGCTCGGACGAAATCTGAATACCAAACAGGTGCTGGCGCACCACCCATGAACTGGTGGTGAAATTAGACGCCCCCTGACTATCGATTTTCCATCTAAGAACCACTTTTTGGTGCTGCTGGTAAAAATGTCCTTTGGACTCAGAAGTGGCATCATATCTGAGACCGTGATGACTTCCGTCACTTCCGTGATGACTGAGGCCGTTTCTTCACCCCAGACCATCATGGAGTCCATGGGCTCCATCCAACCATTTATTCTGTGTCAATGAAGGCCGCTGCTGTGAGAATCGATATCACCTACATGTTGTCTACACCCCCCCCCCCGCAAAATGGGTGTTGCCTTTTGACACTGCATAGAAAATCATAGAGCCATGATTCTGGGTGTTGGGTGTACTTGCAGAATCCTCCATGAACACTTCTCAATGAAAGGCAAGAAAGAGCATGTAGATCTTAATGCAGACTTGGAACAACACGTTGAACAAGGAAGGGCATCTATTGTACCAGTAGTGGGAATTCCTGTTCGTGTCACCTTGTTAAAAGCCAGGACTCAATCCTGTCTGGGATGTGAAAGTTGTCTGGTCTTCCCAGCTTCAACCCCCCTAGGGCGTACCTTTTCAGGTTCGGTATGACAGGACCTTCCTAGCACCCACCCCAGTCCCATCTCCAAAACGAAGGTACGACTGAAGCAAAACGAAGACATCTGATCTTCCCAACAGAAACGCCCTCAAGCATAGTCAGGCCATAGTCAGGCCATGGGGTCAAGAATGTCAGTGGCCACGGGGCACCGTCCCCAATTTGACACTTCACATGTCCTCTAAATCGATTCATTTCAAGTTGACAAGGGACAATCGCTCCGACGTCCTTCCAACGCCCACCCCACCCTGCCTTCTTCCAACCCCCCCAAACCACCCAGGGCCCACGTGCACGGCGTTGCCCACCCGCCGAGCCACTCGAAGTGCTCGGCGCCCATGCGCCAGTCGAGGCCCAGGTCTCGAGCCTCGGAGGCGCATCGGGCGACGATCGAAGGTCCGAGCCGTCTCCATTTCAGAGGGGGACCATCTCCATAGTTTGGTGATTTGCCCACAAAGTCTGGTGATATAATATACCATTCGGCCCAGAATTAGTTATGTATTTTGCTTGTTGTTGGTATATCTATATAATTTCACATGTTTGGGCTATATTATATTGCTTTCTTGTTGGGGCAACGAAGCGCAAATATATGAAGAGCAATGCCCCCCAAGAAACCACCTTCCTTGGCGACGTTCTTTTGCCCACAGCCCAAGAGGACCAGGCGGCTCTGCAGGAAATTCTTCAGGGGCAAACCTCTCCTCGCTAGAGATCTGGTCCGATGCGCAACGAAGCAAACGTCCTCCAGTCTCGAAGAGCGTCATCTGGGGGGTCAACATCGGCCCAGAGATGTCCATACCCCCAAAACTGGCTGCAAAGCTCCATCACTTTGTGCGCGGACAAGGAAGCCCGGTTTGAGCCCTTCTCGTGACATTCTGCATAATTGCTCCAAGGTAGCTAAGCCCAAAAAATCCAAAGACTATTTTTGGCCACCCAAGGAAACGGGAAAAAAACCTCCTTACCTTCTTTTCGGATCACCTTAAGACCGCTGTGAAGTGGGTGGTAATTTTTAACATCATCGTGGGGAGTTTGGTCCAGCTCTACGGTGTTTTGATTCCCATACAAACACCGGTCGGGTGAGGGGCCTAGGCGGCCTTCTCACTCGGTCGCCGCACCCGGTCCATCCCCCCTCGGTCCCACTCCGGTCGCCGGGGACGCCGCCAGAAAGGCTGCGCAGCACTGACGGTGCAGGTGTGAGATGTATCCGGTGGCCTCGGTGCGGTGCTGGGGCCGAACAGGAGAGTGGGAGGTATGAAGGACCGAAGAATATAAGAAGAGACTATAGGCATATATAGGTGTGAAGGTGCAGTTTAACCAGATCGGTTGATCAAAGCTTACAAGATGTCGAAATGCATTTGGATTCCAATAACCCCACCTTGAATCAACCGAACACTTGGTTCACGGTTGGGAAAAGTAGCAACTGGCGCTTTGAACATTTTCTACCAAAGGGGCATCAGTCAACCAGGACTCTACAGTGTCTGAAGGAACTGCAGGACTAGGTGCCAACGACATTGGTGGTTGATATTCTACCGGCTGCTGTTCGCTTGTTGTACGAGCCCAGTTTGCAGTTGCCAATAACAGGTTAACATAGAACAGTGCAGACCCGACTTTCATGCCCAAACCCAAAACTGATGCTGCAACATGCTTCCAGGAAAAGTGGGAACATCCACTGTCATGACTTGTGACTGGGAAACGGTTCTCCAAGTGACTGCCAGCTCCCGCATGCCAGCATCCACAAATGGAAAGCCTCAGCCAAAGAGCGATCCAGCCAAGGCACACAGTTTTGGGCCCCAAGACATGCTTCTTGGCCCCTTTTTTTGGGTCTGCATTTGCCGGGGAGAACCAAATTAAAACTCTCACCATGTCCAGGCTATTCAATAATTCTGTGTTTCAGGCACTTCTTTCCAACATGGGTTTAAGTTTCACACATGAGAACTCTTTAACACGGCATCTGCATGTTTTCAACCCCTCAACACGGACATGCTTTGTTCGTTGGGTTCCGATCGTTCAACCTGAAAATCTCCACATATGAAAAGGTTTCACATGGTTTCACCAACATTCTGGTAGGGGGTCTTATTTCTCAACAGTCTACATTCGGACATTGGTGGTGAAGTGCTGTGATTCAGAACTGCCGTGATTCAGGTACCTGTCCGCGGGTGGTGAACTTCTCGGCGGCCCCAAAAACAAGAACTGCTGATTTGGCAAAGTCCCTCCCTTGCTTGGATTTACCGAAGGAAGTGGAAACAAAAAACAAAAAGGATGCCCTCATAAAGTATGACTTGAGCTTCAGCCAGTCTCTGTTACGGTGGCAATCCTTTGATGCCGGCAGCGTGCACAGGGCTGTTACATGTCGTTTGCAACAGTGTTCGTTGTGACAATCGCGGCCGTTGGCAGCCTGGTTGCGCGCACGTTGCGTGTTGCCATCTCTGCCTAGATGTGAAGAAACGATGACAACTTTGCCGCGTCTGCCGGTGCTCTCTGCCAGCAGATTCAGCGCTGCGACTGGCATCCATGTTCGCGGCCTCAGAGAACCTCTGATCCACTGTGGCCTTTCCGGTACTCGTGAGCTTTGGGCTGTGTGGAAGTAGCTGTTGGCACCGCGGCGGCTTATGTGCTGGCGGTGCCTCCTTCTCCTCCTCATCCGAGCCACGGCTGAAAACGGAGGACCTGCCGTGGAGAGAGTTCAGTCAAAGGGCCAAGCTCTTTTTGGAGATCAATTGCTTCAAAAGTCTCACTTGCACTGCTACAGCCTGGAGGTGGTTGGCTTTCACCCACTCCTATGTGGATGTGGTGGCGGCAATCAAATTGAACCGAGCCCGACATTGTGTCCCCGGAGCGAAGGAGCGCGTCCACAGTGGAACCGATGATTGGAGCCGGTACAACCTTGCCCACTATGCGTCGAGCGCAGCAGGTCCAGCCAACCTTGCTGAAGCGACGGTCCCAGCAAGCGTGGAGGCGTGTGCCTTTGCCAGATCCAGGTTGCCCTTGGCCAATGTAACACATATATAACATAAAGCACTAGCAGCTTCATGATTTGCCCTCAACGAGGCCGTCAGATTGCTGCGACAGTGGCAGCTGCATGTTTTCAGTACTGTCAGCATGCTAAGTTGCACAAATAGATGGGGGGAGGGGTGTAGTTCATTCTGAAAAAGTTTTATATTTTTCACACAAGCCAGTGAACCATATTTCATACCAAAAGCACCTCAGACCTCCCAAGCAAGAAAAAAAACCTTTCCACTGCAAGAGGACCGCAGCTCAAGCTTTTTCTCTCTTTGAGCAGAGTGCAAATTGGAGAGCATCTGCATGGTAGTACATTGGATTGGCGCCAAATGCCAAACCCCGAGGCAAAATGGCTTAAGGAACATGAACTCCAAGTTTTGTCTTGGAACATGAGTTTGTTGCATTGTCCAGTATGCTACGCGGGCCCTCCCTTCACCAGTTTCTTTCCCTGGCAAAAGGATCCTAAGACTCAGCCCATCCCATGGTTGGCTACAAACAGCCGGCTACCCTAGCTCAGCGGAGGAACAAAGAACAAGAAGGAACTTGAACATTGACAAATGTCAAACAGTTTGACTTGCTTAGTGGGTCAGTGGGTTGACAGTTTTCGATCTTTGAAATCACAGTCACTTCACATCACAAGATACCAATACTGATACATAAACACAAATGTGTCTAAGATCGCTGAGCCATGCTGGTCACGCGGTCACTTTTGAGCGCCCTTGGCGCCCTTCATCAAGGACTGGATCACGGGGCCGGTTGCGGGATGTCCAGGCATTGGTGCGAAATGCACAGGAGCGTCCTGAATAGCCGGAAACATAACAGTGTTTGTTTTGAAGTTGAGTCTGAATCTGAAGTTTGGATCTGGAAGAATGGAGGAGACTGAAGTGCGGGTGTCTCCGGTGATATTTCTTTCAGATTCCCTCAAAATGGGGTATTACTATTGTATAGTGACATAGTCAATATTGAAACTTAGTGTTTTAGTATAGTATTTAGTATATACTAATATTATATCTTTTGAAGCTAAGTGCAGTCTATTTTATATTTAGCTCAATGTCATATGTTTAGTAATTACATGTAAACACAAACCACTGAGTCAAACCCAAAGCTTGTAAGTACAATGCAATAACTGCAAAAGTGACTCCACTACAAATGAGTCACCTTTTTTTGTTTTATTTATTGGACTGGACGGACTGGGCTTTGAAAACTTGAAGGAACCCGGGAACCCCCTGCCTCCAGCCCGCCCCCTGCACCCCCCCACCGCCGCGGCCAAAAAACAGTAAAATAAACAATTCATTTGTCGTCAGTCCAGAGTTCATTGGACTTAAAGATTTCCGACTTTGATTTCTTCGTAGTCTTGGTCTTGGCTGATGATGCTGACACAGTCTCCGGAACCTTGCGCTTGGAAGAAGCCTTGATCTCTGCCATGACATCAGCTTTTGTCTTTGCTTTTGCCTTTGCCTTGGCCTTCGACTCTGCCATCGCAAACTTGCCCTTACCGACAACCGTCTTGATACTGGTATTCGCCTTCTCCTTTTCTTTGGAAGTCTTCAACTTCTTGGCATTGTCTTCTTCCTGCTTCTTCTTCTTCTTGTCATGTTTGCCTTTCTCTTTTTTCTTCTGATCAGCATCCTTGTCCTTCTGTTTCTTATCCTTCTTTTCCTTTTTCTCCTTCTTGTCTTTGTGCGAATGCTTCTTCTCTTTGGCTGCTACTGCTGCTGCAGCTGCAAGTTGGCTCTTCTCCTCTTCCTCCTCCTCCATACGTGTTGCTTCATCCGCTGTTGTTGCTGTTTCTTCTTCTTCCATGGCCATGGGGACTTCGCCTGGCATTGTTGTTCCACCTCCATCACCCGCATCCCCAAGTTTGGCCTCCACCACTACCTCCATTTCATTCGGATGTGTGTCTTTCTCCTGAGACTCCTGAGGTGCTGCTGCTGCTGTTGCTGTTGCTGCTGCGGCTCTATCTCCTTTGCCACCTTCTCCATGCTCATCACGCTTCTCTGCAGCATCCTCCTCCATGTCCATGGGCTGTCCGTCCAGTGCTTCTTGCGCTTGTGCTGTATCTCCTTTGTCACAGTTCTCATTCTCAGGCTTTTCCTCTATTGTCTTTGCTTCATCTGTAGGCTTCTCCTCCTCCATGTGCTGTCCTTCCAGGGCTGCTGCTTCTTGTCTTCTATGTCCTTCAGCCCCTGTTTCAACTGTTCCTTGGTCATCCATAGACCTTGTTTCATCCTTTTCATTGCCATTCGCAGCCTGCCCATTCTGAACTTCCATGACTTCCATTGGGTGCTCCGACAAGCTCTCAACTAAAGTGTTCACAATCTTGTTGTTGTTTTGTGGGTCTTGCAGGAACTTAATGAAGTCCACAATGTCATCCACAGGGTCGCCATCACTTGCAAACTCGTAGTCATCAGCGAAATCATTCTCAGCAACTCTGGTAGAGAAGTAGGTTTGGAACAAATCATTGGACTTGATGCGTTTCACCTCGAGTTCCAAGTCGTATCTGGGATTCTCACTCTCCAAATCTTCCTCCAGCATGTCTTTGATCTTGTCATGGCTCATGATGTAGTCCAGGACCATGCCACCTTGGCTGGTTGATTTGAGTGTGTGATCATCTTTTCCCTCAGCCGCCGCCACGGGCGCAGGATTGAGATCGCGAGCAAGATAGCTACAAAAGTGAATGACATCTTCCACAGCATCCCCGTCTTCGTGTCCAAACTCGAAATCCTCCTCAACGATTCCCTCCAACAGGAGGAACTTCAAATAGCGTGCAAACTTTGGATGTTGTTTGATCCGGTCGATTGTTTTGACAACCAGGTCCGAGTTCTCCATCAGCAAGTCCCGGATCTGTGTGGGAGGATTGTGCAAGTCAATCTCACAAACAGAGTCACCTGCTTTGTCAAGAATCATGGTTGGCACAGAGGCTGGAGTGGACGCAGACTCTTTGTAGATATCTTGCATCATCCGTCCAAAGGTTTGCGCAGCAAGCTTCCTCGGCTTGTCAACAAATGTAAGAAGTAAGTAAACAGAAGAAACCTAATGTCAATGTGGTGAATGTGGTGGCTGCTACGTGGCCAATGATCTATGTAAAGCAGCCAATGGTTAATGACAATGACAGGCGGTTTGACGTGACAAAAAAAAGTTCCTCTTGTGCAACCAATATTCGGATCCTTCGACTGGCTCTTGGCCTTCACAAAAAGAGAGTTGGTCATCCTGCATGCCGGCGAAACCAAAGTCAATGGCACACGGAGAGCCATGCAATGTGCCCCCAATGCCTTTTCCACCAGCAAGCTGCCGGCTGGGATGTAAAGCACATCGCCCGGGTTGGAATACGTCATGCGCAAAGTTGTGAACTTATCCGGAGTTGCCATGAGCTGACTCTGGTCCAAATCCATCATGTGTTTTGCAGCGTCCTGTGACAATCAAAAAGAATGCAAACGGCGAACGGTAACAGCAACGGTACACAACATTATTCCTAATGTGCGTTGTCACCAACACACTGCACTGCAATACTGCAATAGGAAATTTGCTGCTGCTCACTGTTGATGTTAGTTGACTAGACTGGACTGGACCTAAGAACATCCCAAAGACCATGTCTACCCCTCCCCCACAACATGTTGCCCTTGTTGTGCCTCCATGAGCTGTTTCAACTCTTCTTGGCTATCCTTCTCAATATCATAGTCAGGCTTCAACGCATGGCAAGCCTGCTCCATACTCATAGATGCCATCAACTTGTTTCCAGCCTGCTGT